AATGTTCAGCAGTCTAGACTAATGGAAAATGTATCATCAATGAATGAAGAAAAATCACATAATGGCATTAAGAGATTTAAAGTATGTTATAATATTGTGAACAATCTGAATTGTTCTAACAATAAAGTCATAGACACTTACTGTTAACAGCAGTACATGATGGGCTGAATATAATAACATATAATCGTCCCCTACAGTTAAAAATATGAGCGCGTGCGTGGGTGTGTGTGTGTGTGTGTGTGTGTGTGTGTGTGTGTGTGTGAAAAGTGAAAGCTGCTTATCTAAATCACCATCATCATCATCATTGCAAAGATATGAATCGCAGTTCGGTCACCCATTCAATATGGCATGTATACCTGAAAACGATTTTTTGTAGCGACATGTATTTGTGGCAGAATTATATTGAATCGCAGAGACAACCTTACAACCTCCTTCTATCAATCAGCGAGCACTGAAGAAAAACATCTTGATTAGTAGCCTCTAAAATGGGGGAGGGGGAACGGGAGCTGGGGGCATGAGGAAGTTCCGGGTGGGTTGGACAGTGGAAGGGGAGTGGGGGTCAATCAAAAAAAAAATGTTTAAACGAGTTCACTTGACTAATGCTCAAGGGGACATGGGGGTCTTGCCATATGCTCAAGAGGGCATAGGGGTCTTCAAGTTTGCTCAGTGGGCATGATAGCCTTGCCATGTGCTTAAGCCTTGCCATGGGGGTCTTGCCATTTGCTCAAGAGGGAGGGGGTGCGTGGGGTCTTGCTATATGCTCAAGGTGGGCGCCAACTGAGCAAAATTTGGAGACCACTGGTCTAGATGGATAACATGAACTATTAGTTCTTGAAGATACATAGGAAGAAGTTAGTAGATTGGTAAACGTAATAAATCTAGATTTTGCTTCCAGATCGAATTAGTCCTAAATAAAGTGCAGCACTGTTGACCATCTCGGGTATAGAGCGAGTGAAAGACCTCGGAAAATATGGAGTGATGACATTAAGAACAGCTTTACAGAAATGAACATCAGTCTTTATAGTGCTCTTGACAGAGCTCATTAACGAAAATTACACCTCCACCCGACACTTCGATGAGGTACAAGGTGGAAGAGAAGAAGAAGAAGAAGCAGAAGAAGAAGAAGAAGAAGAAGAAGAAGAAGAAGAAGAAGAAGAAGAAGAAGAAGAAGAAGAAGAAGAAGAAGAAAAAGAAAAAGAAGAAGAGGAAGACTGTTGACCACATCACCCATCAAAGTTTTAATGATTTAAAAACCACCGCTTCAAATTATCCATCTGTCTGTTTATCTATTTGTTTATCTATTTGTTTGTCTGTCTGTCTACCTACCTGCCTGCCTGTCTGTCTCTGTATGTCTGTCTGTTTGTTTATTTATATATCCATCCCTATATATGTAAAAAGAGGGCGAATTTTATATCTTCTTCTTGCAGACAGTGCTTAATAGCATAGAAGATTTATTCGGTGTTTTGAAAGCTGAAATGCTTCCGTAGGGATTGTTTGTTCAATATCTGAGCTAAGACTTATTCACTGTCAATAAGTATGACGAAATGTTATAAAATTTAAAGCAGACAATGTGATACTAAACCCAATAAACAAGATGCCTTCTAAAATGTAATACTTTTCTCTGACAAATACTTTGTGGGCATGACAGTGTGCATATAGTTTGAATACCCGTGGCTGCAAATAATGTTCTTGACACATTTAAAGACACCAGGAATAGACAACTCCCAGCGGGCATCAGTGTCATTTGTTGAGAAACTTGGTCCAAATAGCCAGAGTTCATCATTGACCAGAAGTGCACCTTTAATATCTCGGTCAAAATCCCAAAGCATAGTTTCATAAACGATTTGCATGAAAGGTTCATCAAGACAAGTTTGTATTCGATAAAGAGTTCCATTCTGTTGCAACACAAAGCTGTCTCTTCCATTACTGAAAAAACTTTGGATGACGATAGTGGACGAATGCCATTCAGTGGAACGCACCGGAATGTAGTGGTATCAAAAACAAATACCTGTGCCTCCGACTTTCCTGCAATGGAACCAAAGAAAAGTATGTTGTCGCCAATAACAGCAGAGCAATCGATGGAACCTAGATCTGATGGCAGTGAGCTGACTTTTACCCACTGACGTGGATCAAGTATGTTTATTATTTCAAGTGAATAGCACTCACTGGTCGGACGAACAGCGTACAAGAAGTGTCCAATTGTTAGCAAACATGTGTTTTCCTGGTCTGGTGAATCTAGAATCGCTCTCCATGTGTTCCTGGATGTTTCATAAACATGAATAGATTTATTTTGTGCTCTTAAATAAACATCATTGTTAAAACAGGTGATCAAAGGGCAATAAATCCATTCCCTAAAACGATTTCCAAGGCCATACCATCGACGTTGTCTTCGACAAACTAACACATTAGTAGAGTTGTCTGTTGTAACGGCTACAATAACATTCTCCAGGTGACTAATTGGCCTATGGACGGCTGAAGCAGGACAAAACACATGTAGACTGTCCTTTCTCAAAATATATTCCAACGCGTTTTGGAGTATCGCTTGGGCCGCTTTACTGGTTCGCACATTTGCTTTATTCATTGTTTTCATCAAACATTTTCCACTTAGAAGACATACTCTAGTCATTTTAAGCAGGTCTGTCAGGTACTCAGCTCGGCTGTAGCTTTTTGTCAGCTGTTCATGGGCACTTCCTTTGTCATCTTCTAGAAGCATGTCTTGTTGTTTATTGACTTCATCACAATTTTCTGATAGTGTGCCTTCACTCTGCGGCTGCTGATGGTTATTGATTAAGTTTTCTTTGAGAGGTAGGATCACAATCCTGACTGACTGCTTTGCTATTTCCTGATAGTGTGCCTTCACTCTGCGAGTGATCACTGTCATTATTCTGTCAATCGTTTACTGCAGATATGTCCTGATTGTGACCGGCATAACTGATATTTTCTGATTGACTGCCGTCCTTCTGTGTCTGCCCTGGTGTATCACACTTGTAAACCAGTTCATTTGTCTCATCGAACAGTTCAGTTGGTTTGTAATCAACCCATGAGAGAACTGTCTCCAGAACATGATCTTCAGATATGGTCTTCAAGTCAGGGCTAGCGATAAACGCTTCCATTTCTTCTTTAGTAAGCATCATAAGTTCTTCAGATCGCCGTATAGATTCAAAGTTGTCAACAATATAGGACCATGAAAACTGTACCATCTCCTTTGAATCCAACAGCTTGCCATGTTGATAAATGGCAAGGCAATTTTCAGGGTTGATTTTCTGTTTGAGGAACACTTCACATTCATGCAACAGAAAGAGTATCTGAAGCTGATTTGCTGCGTGCCAAATGTCAAACACGTTAGTGTCATTAATGACGTTCCGTCCTGCATACATGCATTCCAGTACATCAGCAAATGTCTCCCGTGAGATTTCTTGAAGGATTACTTTTCTCTCAAGATCTTCTTTCATCCCTGAAGTAAAGACGGCTTTGAAAAATCCAGAACAAGCAGCAAGAACTACACGATGGCATCGAAACTCATAGTTGTCTACTTTTATTTGTACGTCAGAAAATTCAGAACTTTCCTTCTCATTTTTCAAACCTTTGAGCAAACCAGATACTATACCCGGAGAAAACTGTTGATTATCTTGATTTTCTGTGCTCATTGCTTCGTTCGTCATTAGATTATGAAATACGGAGGAGTTTAAATTGTTATTACTCCTGTAATTGATAGCAAATAACACACTGTGTTGAATCCGCACCCTCTGCTATTTGTTGTTTCAAACATCAAGCAAATCACAGCTTTAAAAATGCGTTACTGTCACTGCAGTAAAAGCTATTACTGAGCACTTCCAGACGATTGTAACTTTATATGCTAAGAAACGTTGAAATTTTCAGAAGCCAAGTTGTAACATATCAGATATAAATTAACACTGGTGTATGTTGCGTTGGCAAAAAAACATATCTTTTAACAATTATAGTCACTTTTGTGGATATAGAACACTTTCGCGCTGCAAACCACAACCGACTCACGTGATCTTAGCTTGCATGCTGCGGGATAATAAAACCACTTGATTTCTCAGAACATTGCGTTACAATACAGAGGAAGTGAAACCAGCAGTGTGTTTTCTCCGGAAACAAAGTCCACAGGATTAGCAACGTGAAGATAATAATACACTAATACGAATCTCGGCAAGCCCTGTTAAACTATAAAGTTATACTGTGAACCCAAACGGCCGGAAGAAACCTGCAGGCCAGGGCAGAGTGCAAAGACTAGCCAGCAGTTGCGTGTCTCTATATTTAGGTCACCAGCTGGCGCTTGTGTGCGTCCCGTGTTCGTTTCTAAGAAGCAACTTACGTCACAATCGAAACTGAAAACGAAAACAAGCAGGTAGAAATAGAAAGTGAAATAAAGTAAATTACGCTTTAACGACAGAGCGCTTTAGGCAATTCATGATTAACTCATTTTTCTAAATACTTGCCATAATACCACACGAGAGAAAAAACAATTAGCTTCAAGATATACTTAATATGTATTACATGTATTGGGAAGAAAGATAGAGAGAGAGAGAGAGAGAGAGAGAGAGAGAGAGAGAGAGAGAGAGAGAGAGAGAGAGAGAGAGGGGAGGGAGGGGTTTGAAGTCCATATTGAAATAAATTGTCTTTGTAAACATAGTGGACTTAGGTCTTGTTTAAGTCAGTACCAGTGATGGCGGTGCTGAAAACAATAAAGATAATGTGCTGGAAAAAAAATAGTATAATCAAATTCATCATCATAAACCAGTTTTGTATTTAAGCGGCGTAGGGAGGAATAGTTTGCGATCCAGTGCATGCTGGCTGCCACTGGATATTGTCATGCCGTGAAGGTGTAGAGTGTCTTTAATGTTGTCGGTCCATGTTTTCCGCGGCCGTCCTGTTGTTCTTGTAGCTGATCTTCTAAGATGTAGTGCTTGGGATTGTATTTGATCTTGCCGCATTCTAACGAGATGTTCAAACCACTTGATCTGCTGTTTCTCGATGAATCTACTACAAGGTGTCGTTCCCGCAATTTGTCTGATAGTGTCATTATTCACTCGATCTCGGATGGTTGAGTTGGTTGCTTTTCTCGGGCATCTCATCTCGCAGGTGGTGATTTTGCGTATTTGGGCTTTAGATACTGTCCATCTTTGGCCCTGGTAGTATGTTTGCATTAGTACTCAATGTACAGACAAATGCTCAGAAAGGGAACTTTTATGCGACTCTGATGGGGCTGGGGGCTGTTTAGCGCCACTTCCAGTTTTTAAAGGTCTTCTCGTCTGGTAATCTAGTAATCCTAGTTTCAGCTTCATAGCAAACGGGTCACCCCATAGTTGCTCCACTCCTGTGCCAACGAAAATACACCTTGCTCACAGTGTCACGCCATGCACTCAACTCAGAAGCTGGGCGACGAAAATATATCCTTCCAGTCTACAAATGGAGCAAAAATGCAACGGCCACCGTCTGGCAGAAAAAAGAAAAAGGTGGCCGTGCCTAGCGTCCATTTTGACCTGAAACATTATATGAGGGTTAATAAACGGTCACCCCAGCAGTACCTTCATTATTAGCTCGGGAAGGGACTTAAGCACATTACATCCACCAGCAGGCGTCGCCCATACAACGACCTACCTGCCTTCGTTAACGACTGTTCACCCAACAGCCATGCAGTTCTTTGGCACGTAAGAGACACCTTGAACTTGGGTTTCGGACTGCCGACTCCCTACAAGATGTTATTTTATGTTTTGTTATCACACTTGATGTCACGGCACATTGGGCATACCCATGCGTGCTCAGTTCTCCGAAGCAGCAGCCACTCCAAAGTACTTCTACTAATTGTCCCCATGAGAAGCTGGTTATATCGTCTCCTTTCTCAGACCCGAAGACGGCAAAGACGTGCATCACCATGTCAGGGATTCCTCATTATCCACTAACCCAGCCCGTACAGCGTTGATGATATCTGCTCTGTCCATGCTTTTTTCCGCAATCATTAGTGCAGTGCTTGCCAGTTGATCCGTTGGCTCATTTCCCTTTGCGCCCGCATAACCCGGTGTGTAGATCCAGATTACGGAGGTTAAGTGCGATTTCCGAATGCTTTCTATCCATTCAGAGCGCATACTGCCTGTTGCTATCTTCTTAAGCATATTCATTGAGTCTGAGACAATTAATACCCGTGTGGCGGTTTGCTCGGATACCCACGCTAAAGCTCTACAAGCAGCGGGTATTTCTATTGTCATGCTTGACGTGGTTGTCTGGTAAGCGCCGCTGTTCTCATGTATTGTTTTCCCCCTTCTTTGTGCTATGTATGCCCATGCTGACCTTGATCTGCGCTTCACGGATCCATCTGTCTATATATAAACATGTTGAAGACAAATTTCCACTGAAATGAAGTGAATAAGTAGGGCTGCAGGAAAGTTCAGATGAGATAAACCAAGAATTAGGTCATATAATAAAAAATAAGCACAGAACAAATTTTAATTATGTGTTAGCGGGGAGGAAAAAAAAAGACAATTAGAAGAAGGCGAGATGAGGAAAAGAAAATTGTGGTAAGCACATTGAGTAGTTCCTCGCTAAACAGCAAAAAAAAAAAAAAAAAACAGAAAAAGTAGAGAAAGGGCAAGAGTTCTTCTCTGCAGGGGCCATGAAATATGATCAAATCCATGGCTGAGGATATATGAACAATTGTATTATACAGCTACAACACCTAAATACAACAACTAAATATTAGTACATAGGAAAGGCCTAGCCAAACCACGTGCACGAACTACAAGTTCTATCTTGAATCAAGCAAATGAATATAACCACCAGATTCAACATCTTTTAATCTTACTGAACACAAAACTAGCGTGGTTCACAAATAACAATACATTAACAACCATCATCGATTCTACACAGGCCACGCGTTAAGCACCCCAGCTAACAAAAGTGAAAGTTCGCCTCTAACGACCTAAACTCGAATAAAATTCCCGAGCGATAATACAGGCTGATAATCTAGATCTACCCAGTTTAACTACTGCAAAAGGAATCGGATCTACCTATGAGGGAAATTTATATCTAGCACCATGTAACTAGTAAACTCTACTACCGACTAGAAAATATTGCCAGCACATCCATCGACTTGGTCTCTTCTCACTGTGGCGACCGGTGGGTCCAGCGGACGGGAAGATAATAAGGCCAAACTTCGATTAGATTAGATTAGATAGAAAATAAAAATATCAAACTTTCGCCCCGTTCTACTGCCTAAAGGCCTACTATATTGAAGAGGGTTCACTGCTTGCTTGATTTAATTTCAGTTTCCTTGTGGCGAACTATTTCGCCTAAGTTTTGGTTTCTTTGAAATGTTGCGCTGCTTAAGGTCTTTGGGCTGACGTGTATCAGCGGCTGTCATATTATCCTGTTTTCTGCATCTTGGGGGGAAAAGGGGGGGGGGGGGGGTAATTAGCCCTGAAAATTACTATCAGTTTTTGCCTGGGGCGGCCTGCGTCGGGTAAGTGCGGGGTCACCTGAGGTCTGTTGCCGGCTGTTCTGTGGGTTTGATTTTGTTGTGTTTAGTGATTGCGGTGGCGGCGTCTCTGTTTGGTGTTGGCGTGGTTCCATTTGGTGCTGCGCGCCTTTTTTTGTTTCCTTGACAATTGTGTGAGCTCTTTCCAGTTTTTGTAGAAGTGCATTTTCATATACCTTGTTGTCCATGTACTACTCAGATTCTACATCTGATTGTGGGCCGTTTTATATGTTTCATACCAGGCGTCATTATTCCGCACTCCCGTGTTGGGGTAGATTGCTTCGTTCAGGCGTCGGGCGACACGTTTGACGTAAACGACAATTATATCCTTGTCTGTGATCTTTTCTTCTAGGCACATTCTATAGTCTTCTTGTGTGGCTGTGGATACTGAAAATTCATATATGTCTTCCACCTCATAGAATGGATCTTCTTGGTATGTTTCAGTGTTTTCTTGTGTTTGTTAATTTTATGTCCCTGCATCTGTTTCTGTGTGAGGGGTGGCTTCTTCTGCATCACGGATCGTTTTGGTTTCAGTGTTTTATTCAGTTGTTTTTGCTGGCTCCGCAGACTGGGTCTTATAAGTCATAACTTTCATTTCAGTAGCTGTTCACTTGTCGGCCCTGCTGATGCTTGGTTTCACTACTGGTGATTTGCTTCATTCTGTCTCCAGAAATTATCTCTCTTTCTTGGCTGCTTGTGTTGCGGCTTCTGCTTTCGCCTGTACCAGCAGGGCGATCTTTTTTTTAAACGGTCTCACGCTCTTCGTTCAGGTCAGCCATCTTCCTCCTTCCGTCCTCTCTATCCTTCTGTCGGTGTGTCTTATCAGTTGTCTGGGCCAGGGAAACCCCGCAGTGGCTCAATCATTTTTGCCAGCTTATCTCTTCTTCTTCTTCTTCTTCGCGTTCACCAGCTGTAAACTCTGGTGGAAGGTTCTGGTTGCTCGTCCACTACTGTACTGCAGTCCTGCTCCAGAACCTGAGTGTTGCGTGTGCATCAGTTTTACAGATCTCATTCTCTTGAATACAGACTGTTGGTTCCTTGCCTCTCCGGCAGATGCACTCCGACTTCAAAGGAAGCTCCCCAATTAGTCGACTCTTACGACATGTTTTTGGGGTGGCAGTGGGTCTATTCTTGATTTTCCCCACAATGGGGTCCCGGAACCCACAC